TAATCTAGCTGCACTAGACATCCTGACCCACGTAATGTAAACGCATGACACATTTTATCTTTCTCATCCAATCAGAACCTTCCTTTCTGAAGCGTGGCATAGTCTCTGTGGTGTTTATAAATCTGTCAAACTTTGATTCGACCATAAATCAAAACATCCAGATTAATAAAACCAGTCCCACACCATCTTAGATCAGTTTGCGGCATTCTAAGAGAAGTATCGGGCCGGCCACCCAGACTTCCTTTTTAAGCAAAGAACCAAGCTGGATAAAATCTGTTGCACTCTACCGACCAAGCAACGGTTCCTTTCAGAATACAAGCTGAACTCACTGACCCTCCGTGTCCATCTGATGCTGTCAACCAACTGTCGCTTTTTACCCGGAGACAATCCAAAGACTAGTCTGTCGTACTGCTGACGCTGTTTCATCGGCTCCGGTACCGAGAGGGGGGTCCGAGGACCTGGCAGTCTGGATCTGTACGGAGGTCTCATCCTAAGGGTATGTATGGAGCGACAAAATGGTGTCTCATGTGTTTATGAAACTCCAATCATAGCTTAAGAGCAAAACATCACTTCATCACTCAGACTTGCTTCTCCGGATACAGGAGTTCTGATGACAACATCACTCACACATACACCATCCATCTCACGTCTCGTTCACACCAAGATCCATTCATCACTTAGAATTTAGAGTTCTTGTTTAAAATTGTTTAGTAATAAATCTTTAAACTTCTAAAACTTGACTCTCTTTCTTTTGTCTCTGAGTTAATACGAGGTGGTTACATAATCCCTGCAATAAAAAGTTCCAATCTTCTGGTTTGAGTTATCCAAAGATCCATAAGATTGATTTCATGTTTCATATGGAATCTCACATTTTATGGTTCATTAAATAATCTGTAAATTTAATCATTACACAGCTAACGTCTAAGTGTACCTCTTAGCCAATAGTGATGGCAGATTAAATTCAAATGCAGTGCATAGTTTTTACCTGAAGACGGCACAACACTGACAGTTTTAGGTGGAATATTTAAATTTTTAACAAAGATTAAATTCAAGTTTATTTATATAGCGCCAATTCACGACAAGAGTCGCCTCAAGGCACTTCACACAGTAAACATTCCAATACAGGTCAGTTCATTAAGCCAACCAGTAAAAAGTTTCCTATATAAGGAACCCAGCAAATGCATCGAGTCACTGACTAGTGTCAGTGACTTTACAGCAATCCTCATACTAAGCAAGCATTTAGTAACAGTGGAGAGGAAAACTCCCTTTTAACAGGAAGAAACTTTTGTGTTGTCTGGTCTCCTTATGTCTCTGTAGGACGCTACGAGCTTCTGTAGGTTTTCTACTATGTAATTAAACACTGAGACACAGCTATTTAGGTCCAGCGAACTTTTACTTTCTACTTCAACTCACCGATATGACAGTAGAACTCCCATGGCACTAGTGCCCCCTAGTGATCACAGTCCCAACAGCATGTACATTACAGTACATTACACCACATCCCTCTTTTCCAGAGTAAACGTTCTTTGAATAACTTAAGTTTATAACCATCAATGAACTTTCTTAAGCGTTAACTCATATGTTTTTACTGCAATCATTGTGTTATATTTAAGTATTTCAACAAACACCAAAACATTACATTCTCTTATTAACTGCATTTTAGCAAGATCCTTCCTGTAATTCCCCTCACAGTTTACTTTCCCTTTTTTTTTTACATGATTATAACAATTTTTCTACATTTAAATAGACACATTTTCACATTATTTGCTAAGAATTAATTAACATTGCGGCTTTTTCACAAGGCAAAAAGTGATTACAGCATCTACTTGACCTCTGAAAATTTAAATCCGCCATGATATCTATTTATTTGTCCCTTATAGAAATTATTCTGCACATTACAGCACACTGAGGCCTTTGCAACGTTCTAATTAACCCAATAACAGTTGAAACTTGAATTTCTCTACCAGACTAATTGAGTTATTTGCTGCCAAACCTAATGCTCTTCAGGATTCCCTTTTGGTAGCCATGCATTTGTGGATACCGTGCAAAGTACATTTTAATCCATGTCGATGGTAGTATTACTTCTTTGAGTTCTGGGGAAAAATCCAAAGAATACAGTCATGCTTAGTCTGAACTGACATGCTGCATGCAACTAACTGAGACAAATGGTGAAAATATGCGTTTAATGAGGCTGTAATGAGTATGTTTATTGTTCATCCATCTATTTCTCCTGTACAATGTGTTAAATATAAAATGATTGTCAAGAAAATACATATTTTAACTGAAACAATGCAAATAAAATAGCAAAAAATAAAGGAATTTTCTTTTGATGCAGAACCATAAACATATAATCTCTGCTTCTCCCTTGCTGTATTAATAACAAACATTTTTCTAAACTTTAACAATCCTTGTTCACTAATGAGTAAAGCAAACTTCTTTGCAGCTCTGGACTCAAACACATGAATAATGTGCCCTAACCAACACCAAAACATCCAAAATACAGTTTCCACCCTAAAGAGTTTTAATTTGTTTTACACATGCTCAAAAAAGTCTAATAAGAAACATTTATAATGTAGATTGAGTCCACTGATGTAAAATCTGTGTCAGTTAGATTCTGCAAAACAAAGACTTTTGGGTCAGAACCCCCCATGAAGACGTCAACAATCAGAACATCTGCAGCCTCCCACTGAGCTCTGGCTCTGAGGCACTAGCTGGTCCAGGTTCAACTCTGCAAGCATAAACATGTTGGATAATCAGGATTAAATTAGTCACAAAGTTGCCATGCCACTACCTGCTGGTGGGGCGAGCTGTGGAGAGGAGCTGACATGCCCGGTGCTGCAGTCTGCCTCCGCCACATTTCCTGCATGTTTTAGATCACGAACGCATCTTATTTATTTTAGTGATGAATCATTCCTCTAGACACTAAGGAAAGCTGGGGACACTTTTCAGCTGTTAGTTTATGGTTTTAAATAGACGACACACAGTGAAGAGATAGATTTCATTTTCGCTTTAACCACAGTGAATTAATAACGGACACTAGGGGGTGCTAAAAGCAAGAAACACTGCCAAGTGTGCCTTTAAAAGCTGAACGTTGACCAAATGTTTAGATCCTATACCCCCAGATTTTAAAAAACAAACACAGAACAATTATTTGTTGAGCCCATATATTAAATTGCGGGTTGTACGATTCCTTTTGTCTAAACATTACGTGATATGGGTCTCCGTTGGTCCAGGTTCCAGCTGCTGAAGCCACTGAAAACACATCACTGGATAATTCAATACACAAGAAAATTATAACAACACACACACACCTGTTTCCTCCTTGTCAGGAATTATAGATGATGTTTTCAGAAATCCATAAAAGTGACAGACCTACTCTGTACTGTGATAGGCAACACCTCAGTGTGGTTTTTTAGCCCTCCCCAGTCTCGCAGAACCCCAAAAAATTTGAACTGAGAGTTGTTCAGTAGCCAATTCACCCGGCAAGCCATCCTATGTATGTGAATATTCACGGTGCGTTCGATTGACCTCAGAAGTCCAAACTTGGAATTGGGAATGATGTCACACTCGAGTTAACAGCATTCTGGTTACCTTCATCCAAGAAATTGCAATTCTAATATGGCGACACCCTCGAAAACTGTTGTTTTGTCAGCAATCTACGAAAACAGATGAATACTAAACACATGCAGCCCCTCTGCTGCTTAGAGTTGCAAGTGCTACGTGCAACACTGATATCAAGTGCACTCTTATAAGTGCATCTTGTAAAATGAACACATTTCAACCTAAACGCAATGTGGTTGATAAAGAGCAGCCATATTGGGTGTTGAGGTCAAGGCTTTAAAGTTTGTCCGACTTTACGACTGGGAGGTCTGACTTTGAAGCGGGTTTGGGGGGGGGGGTCGGTGGACTGCCTCGTAGATCGACATCTGTAGCAGTGAGTACATCTTATTCTGTACGTTCATTCTGTGTATTTTGTCAGCTTGCATTGCTTGGTTATTTTATAAAACAGAAAGAAACGTTGTTCTTTACCTTGTTTGTTAATGTTTCGGCTAATTACTTTAGCCACCCTCAGAGCTGTGCAGATGTTGGTGGCGTCACTTCCTTCTCAGTTTAACGAAGCAGTACAAATAAGGAAACGTGGACACGGAACCATATAGTGATTAGCCGAAACGTTAGCGAACAAGGTAAAGAACAACGTTTCTTTCTGTGTTTTAGAAGAACCAATAAATATAAGTGAGTATGTCATGTTGTTTGTTGTCCAATAGCATGTTTGAAAGACAATCATAGATCCCGCCCCACGACTGAGAGCCATCAATGGGTTGTGGTGTGTATGATGATGTAATAATAATAGTTAAACAATATGTTTTAGCTCCATTGGCCAGCTAGAGGTGCACATTCACGAACAAAAGGTGTTGGCTCCAGCTGTAATCATCAATGACTGTAGAAAAAGAGAATCACTGAAGTAGGGGGAGGGGCCTAAGGGTGCAATTCATTTTCTCTCCTCTAGATGGTGCTCTCTGAGAGAAAAACTGCAAGTTTCTGCTTTAACAGTTTTTATGCTACCTTTGTGAGTATTTAGCATTTACATCAGAGCCTTCCAATGTGTGGCCTGTGGGCATATTGTAGCCGATGGAGTGGTTTTCTGCAGCCATCAACTACAAATCTAGAGTTGATTCTTGTTAGCATAGCTATTGATGCAGATAAATGCTTAAAAAGATTATTTTAGATATTTACTACCGTGAGGCAGAAAACCCTCCCAAATAATTTTAATATTCAAAAGACATAAAATGTTAAGTTCATTCCAAAGTGTATTTTTTTAATTAATTCTGTTTTTAACCGTGTGCAGTTGCAGATTCAACCAACAACACCACCAATCAAATTTAACATAACATCTTCTCACTGACTGAAAACAACTGCTGATTCTTTAAAAGTACATCTTTGTGTTTGTGAGTTGCTTTAGAGATCCACGGGAAAAGGTTTACAGAGAAAGGGTGGCGTGTCACTCGGTTCATGTTTATTAAAATAAAGACACACATGGAGGAGCACTGCAGGGCTCAAGGCTCAAATCAGGACACAGTTTGGTAAAGCAGGCCAGGAAGCTGCAGGAGTCCACCCATCTAAAATATATTACATAAATCTTGTTTTCGTCTCCTGGTGAATTTTTATATCTAAAGTATGCTGACCTTTTCAGATCACTAACTGTCCAACGTGCTTACTCTGTGCAAACATTCAACTCGAAGTGTGATTTTTACATCTGCATTCCTTAATGCAATTACAAAAACGACTGCTTAACATACAAAAACAGAAATAGGAACCGCTGGATTATAAGAACAAAATGATCTGTTCACTTTAAGGTGCAAAAGAATGAGACAAAACTCATTTAACAATTCACAAAATAAACTAAACTGCTAAAAAGAGTAAAGGAAAACTTTATAATCAGATCTGTTTAAGCTACGCGACATTGATCTGGTCAGATAGCAGAGGGGTATTAATCAGCTGTTCTGATGATAATCAAATCAACAGCTTCACTGAAGGGGATACAAAAGGGTGCCCTTAACCCCTCAGCAGGGCTGGTATCTGCGCCTTTGTGCAAGGAGGAATAGGATGAGTCCTGCCAGAGCATAAAGCTTGGTTTATGCTTGACACATTCACTTTCCGCTTGGTGATGCGGCTCGCGGACGGAACTCGCTTCACAACTTGCAGCGTTTATGGTTCATGCGGCTTGTCTCTGCGGTGAGCCAATATTCTCCCAAACTGTAGGGGGCAGCATGGAGCTCTACGGCATGCATCCAACACTACGCCATAGTAGAAGTAAAAATTACTGTTTACAACATGACATTCCAGCATTTTTTAACAGCGTCCTCGTCTTTTCCGACAGTGCGAGCTATTTCTCTCCAAGCATTATTAACAACATGTTGATCATGGTGATCTTTGAGAGCTGAATCATACAAATGTCTGTATTTACGAACCTCTGCCATACTAGTTCTTGCCAGTCCGCAATGTTTTTCCGCGTCCGACCGTCCGCGTGGTTAGAAAATTTCCTAGGTGCGCGCTGCGGAAAGTTTGGGCCGTGCGGAGGCGCGGTGGAGGGGCGTGGTTGTTAAAATGACGCAACTTTTCCGCGTGGAGCCGTGCGAACCTCGCGGACGCGTCAAGCATAAACCAACCTAGAGTGAGCTCAAATGGGCCACTGATGTGAAAGTCACCAAGCCATAAGAAACAGACTTTGAGGATGGCTCGAGGAGCCTGTGTCCTCTAATGGGAAGCCTGCAACATTGTTCAGAACGATGGGTTTGGTGATGGGTCAGTGTTTATCTGGAGGGATATATCCATTGAGGGACATGTAGACCTGTACAAGATAGATTATTGCATCCAGACTATCATTTGGCCCATTGTTGGACCCTTCACTGATAAGCCCTTGGTTCCTCCCAATGTTGTCAGGCATGCATATGGAAAGGGTGTCATACCAACTACTGAGGACAATTCTGAGGTGCTACAGAGACATTTCAGTCAGCTGCACCAGTTTTTCATTTTCATTTTGAAATTATGACCTCTGTAGGTTGATTATTTTCATTTTCGTGAAACATTAGCCATTCCACACCACAATGGACTTCCTACAAGATTTGATGTTTTTAAAGTGTTCCTTTAGTATTTTTGAGCAGTGTTTATATTTTGTGAGAAGCACAAGCCTGAACTGCCATGCTTTTTAGGCTCCTCAGACTAAAATAATCTATCAGGTGAAATTGATTCAAACTCCTTGGCAGAAAACCCAAAACCCAAGAAACTAATTAGCCAACATAAATGGGTACTGAGTAGCTAAAGTGCATCACATTTCCAACAAACGTTGAGAAGGACCATGGATGTCTACAATTTTATCTTCTGTGAAGTTTCCTCAATGAAAAGGTCAAAAATTGGGATTTTAAAAGCGATTTGGCTCAACTTTTATCCTTTAGATGGCTTGGTTGGAAAAATATTTCTATTAAAAAGGTTTCATCAGGGAAAATCATGCCAAAGGTCATAGAGCAGTTTTTTGAATACCAATGTTTTGACCCTCTGAAATGGCATAATCTCAAATTTGGAAGTTTTTATTTTAGCTTGAGCTTCTCTTGATCTTCTTGCAGGATATCAAATTAAGAGCAGCCACAGTGGTCGACCACCATAGACGCGATCTTCCCGTAGATGATCTGTTCCTTACGGTTGAAGTAGAGCATATTGATGGGTGACATCTTGGTGGGGGTGCAGCAGGGCCCTGCGGTGCCTCGAGGGTTGGCCTTGTTCACCAGGTGTGCGTGAGGATACTGCTGCAGGTAAAGGAACTCACACTCCCCTGAGCAGTAGTTAGCTCGGTAACGTTTGGGTGCGATGATCCAATCCCAGCCGAACTCCTCGAAGTCGACGGTGAGTGGGTATCGGCAGCAGCGGGTCTCTGAAGACTCCTCATCACAGTTTAGACCCGAATCACGGCGGGTTCTCTTAGAGCTGTCCAGAATCTTCACCTCAATGAACGGTTGCTGGAAAAGAACAAAGTGTTTACCATCTTAAACTAACACTAAAACATCATGGCAACAGTCAGACATGGTGTTGGGAGTGTGATGATCTGGGACTGCTCTACTGTTTCAGGACCTGGACCACCTGCTGTAACTGATGGGAGCTGGGAGGAGACGTTCCAATTAGGGTGTAGGGCTGGTCACAGCACTGAGACTGCACTTTAATGGTCCTTAATGATACATTTTTAGCTAGTGCTTTTGTCTTGGTGAGGATCACTGGATCGTCCCTCCAATGGCTCCGCTCCTAACGTCAGGGCAGGACCTTCTGTGTTAGGATGGGTGAAGCCTCATCACTCTCAGTGAGACTCTGCTGGGGCATGCTACAGGGCTCTGTCCTTGATCCACTTCTGTTTACGATATATATGCTCCCCCTGGGGCTCCTCCTTCATCGGCACAGTGTGAAATTCCATCTTTATGCTGTTGACTGTCAGATCTATCTTCCCCTCAGACAAGGGGTGGGTGGATCTGTCTCTCCACTACTGGACTGTTTAAAGGCTGTTAGGATCCTTCCACATCTGGTCTGGTCCAGGTTGAGCTGGGTGTCATTGGTCCTGGTCCCACACTGTAAGGTTTGAACACACGTGCTTCTCAGGTACATGGAAATCTCCGAGCACATAGGCGAGGCCAGGGGTGGACTGGGACGACAATTCAGCCCTGTCATATTTATGACCCGTCAGCCTTCAGAGCAGGGGTGGGGGATTCCTCACAGAGGTATCTGTATTCTGCTGAATGTGAGAGAGGCTGTGAGTGGGGCCCCTTGGGGGGTCTTGGTGGTGACCATGGGTTGCTACCTGGTAGCTGCATCACTCCTGGGTGGGTTTGGGAGGGGGCAGGCTTTGCTCTTGTTGTATTATTGTCACCCCCCTACCCCCCACCCTTTTTTTAAAAAAATTCTCTTTCTGCAGGTCTAGAAGCAGATTCTTGTTCATCATTGTTTATTTTTGTGGAATCAGTCAGCAGTGGGTGTGTTGAACCAGTTCAGCCCAACGCTGACTGCCTTGGGAAGCGGGCTGAAAAATGACTGGTTGACCTTGAATGTATATAACCCAAATTTAATGTCTAATTTATACAGAAATATGTTTTACTTTTAAACACATTTACTAAACAGGTATAAAATATTTTAGTCAAACAAACGGTGCAGAAAATATGCAGAACTTTAAATCTATTTGAAATGAATTAAAATGAATCCAAATTAACTATGATAATTACCTCATTGTGTTCAAGAAAAATCTGATTTTTTCATTATTTATACTTTAATGGTATAACAACAACAATAATAATAATATATTATGTTTATGTTTATGTATTTAGCAGACACTTTTGTCCAAAGCAACTTACAAGTGATAATCGGCATGTTGCCCTTGAGGCTAACAACAATAATAACAACAACAACTTGACATCAATCATGGAGAGGAGAGAACAAGGAGTGGACAGTAGAGAGGGGGGACGGGTGCAGGGAGGGTGCTAGTTTAGAAGATGCTCTCTGAAGAGCAGGGTCTTCAGGAGTTTCTTGAAAATTGAAAAGGAAGCCCCTGTTCTGGTAGTGCTTGGAAGGTCATTCCACATTTGTGGAACAATACATGAGAAGAGTCTGGATTGTCCTGAGTGTGGTGTAGGTACTGCTAGCCGACGATCCTGTGATGAGCGGCCGGGCCGAGACATAAGCCTTTGCAAGAGGATTCAGGTAGATGGGAGCCGTACCATCTCGGACTTTGTATGCTAGTGTTAGCTATTTGAATTTGATGCGTGCTGCTAGCGGTAGCCAGTGGAGCTCAATGAACAGAGGGGTGAGGTGTGCTCTTTTTGGCTGACTGAAGACCAGATGCGCCACTGCGTTCTGGACCATTTGAAGAGGTCTCACAGTACAGGCTGAAAGACCAGTTAGAAGGGCATTGCAGTAATCGAGGCGGGAGATGACAGTAGATTGCAGCAGGAGCTGGGTGGCATGTTGTGTTAGGTATGGTCTGATCTTTCGTATGTTATACAGCGCAAAGCGGCATGAACGAGCAACAGAGGCAACATGATCTTTAAAGCTCAGGTGTTCATCAATCACAACACCCAGATTTCGAACTGCCTTTGAAGGAGCCAGAGATAGGAAGTCATTTTGGATTGAGATATTGTGCTGTATGGATGGTTTTGCTGGGATGACAAGTAGTTCAGTTTTAGAGAGGTTGAGTTGGAGATGGTGGGATTTCATCCATTTTGATATGTCAGAGAGACAGTTTGATATTCGTGCAGAGACAGTGTGGTCGTCCGGTGGAAATGACAGATAGAGCTGGGTGTCGTCTGCATAGCAGTGGTAGGAGAAGCCATGTGATCGAATGATCTCACCCAGTGAGGTGGTGTATATGGCAAAGAGAAGAGGTCCTAATACAGAGCCCTGGGGACTCCTGTGGCAAGATGGTGCACTGTAGATGATTGTCCAAGCCAAGATACACTGAATGATCGTCCTGTGAGGAACGATTCAAACCAGGCGTGTGCTTTCTCTGTGATGCCCATGCTAGAGAGTGTGGACAAAAGGAAGCCATGGTTGACAGTGTCAAATGCAGCCGATAAGTCAAGCAGGATAAGCACTGAGGATTTGGCAGTCGCTCTAGCTTCTTTTAAGGATTCCGTCACTGCTAACAGAGCAGTTTCAGTGGAGTGGCCTTTTTGATCCCAGATTGGTAAGGGTCAAGCAGACAGTTTTGAGAGAGATATTCTGTGATCTGCTTGAAAATATGATCTTTTAATGAATAATTTCTCTATTTATTTTATTTGAAATTTTCTTCCTGAAACATTAAAATTATTTGAAGGTTTCCTGGAAAACCCAGGCTGATAATTGAAACCAGCCCTTTTTAAAGGAGTTTAGAAATTTGATTAATTTCATGTTGATTTAAAAATCAACATCAACTTTGTTTGTTTTCACTTTTAAACTTCGATCACATTTAGGAGTGATTTGCAGAGGTGTGTGTGTGTGTTTGTGTGTGTGTGTGTGTGTGTGTGTGTGTGTGTGTGTGTGTGTGTGTGTGTGTGTGTGTGTGTGTGTGTGCGCGTGTGTGTGGTGTTTTACCCACCAGTCCTTCCTCTCCTGGTTCCGCTGAGGTCACCGCCAGATCTTCTCCTTTAGAGTCGAACGCGTTAATCTGCAGACCGTAGTTGGTTTCAGGTTGACGGAGCCAAGCTTGCAGCAGAGACTTGATATCGATGCTCTGCCACGAGCTGGAACCGGCATCGGTGTCGATCTTCAGGGAGCGGACCCGGATCCGGGTGCTGTTTCCCTCCTTGTCCGGGCTGAGCCTGCAGACCTGCAGAAAGACGGTGTTGACGGTGCTGGTGGGACGCAGGTGGACCCACAGCTGAGCGCTCAGGATGTTTTTGGGCTGGATCTTCGGGCTGAGACTGAACAGGCAACAGGAGGACAGCTCATCCTGGGGGAAGTGGATCGCTGGAACAAATAAAACGCATGCTGATTGAATAATTTGTTTGCATGGAACTCGTTTCCTACTGAAACCACCTTTACGCACAGAATTTACGCACGAACTCTCATTTTACGCGCAAATTTTTAGGAATACTTGGATCACATGAGAATAAAATTCTGTTACGTTTGGTAGCCATGGTGATGATGGTCTCGGTTGTGGCGTGGTCCTCGTCCTCCACGCGCGGGTCGTACTGGTCCAGCAGCTGCGTCAGAGGGGGCGCTTTGGGGATCAGCTGGCGGATCATGTCCCGGCTGATGTTGGGAGCCTGTTCCAGCCGCAGGATGCTGAGGATCTGAGACTTGATGCTGTGGAGCCTCATCAGCTTGCTGTGCTCCCGGTAATCGCAGGCCGAGCACTGCTCCAGGTTGTCCGCCAGCAGCTTGGAGGTCTGGTTCATCTCCATGGCGGACCCCGCAGAAAGGAAAGCGGCGAGGCAGAGGAAGAGGAGCATCCTGAAGAGAAGAAGGGCAGAGTGCTGGGACTCTGATATGAGGCTAGACTCACGGCTTTGTGATTGGCCGAGAAATCGTTTTTTTTCTCCTCTGAGTAAAAATTAAAGAGGTAGCAGGACGGGGAAGATTCTGTTGAGTTTAAAGTAAAACAAAGTCTTGTAAAAACCATCATGAAAGCAAGAAAAAACACCTAACCTGGTTATTCCCTGCAAGACCTGCTCTTCTAGTTTGAAAACGGCTAATTGAAAACTTTAAAATTACAAATCTACATTTCTGTTAGTCAAGTTTGTTTCTGTTGCTGCGTCAGTGGCGTGTCCAGATCTTTTAAAATGAGGTGGCGCAGGTTAGGCACAACTTTGTGCATGGGTGGCACCAATGGTTATGCTGTTTTTGTTTTACCCCCAAGCCTTTTGTGGACAATGAAAAGCCTGTTTAAAGGTAAATTAGTGTGGTGGCACCTGGGGTGGCCGGATTCCAAGGGTGGCATGTGCTACCCCAGGCCACTCCCTGAACACGCCCCTGTGCTGCATGTCTTTCGTCCATCCTCTATTCCTCAGGTTCACGCTGGAGGGCACTGTGGTGACGCTCACGCACAGCTTCTCCTCAGCGGGCAACGGCAGGTGATTTTCCACACACCCCTGTCACTCCTCAGTCAGTGGAAGATAAAAGAGGCCGGGAGCCAGCGGTCCACGGTCGGATGTGGTAAACTGCTTTGGCCGGCAGTGGCATATCAGGTCGAGCTGGGCCCCAGTGCAAGTTTTGTTATCAGCCCCCACAAGCTGCACCACCAGATATCAGATGCTCACCCATATATGGTGCCCCATGTAAGCTGGCTGTGGTATATGTCAAATAAGCAACAATAATCGTTGTTTTTGTAATAAAAACAGGGTTGATGTTAGGTGTGTTTTGACCTGGTCTGCTCAACCCTCCAACCAGAAGGAAAACAACATTTCTAGCCTGTTTTGGGGGATGCTGAAGCACCCCTAAAATCAACCCCAGCACCCCTAAAGTTTTTTTAATCTATATATTTTTACTGTTTGTGTTTTTTTTTACCTAATTAGTAATATATACAGTAAAAACCATACAATAGGTCAAACTATTATGTTTTAAAAGCAAACAAACTGCAAATCCCCATCTCAGAAATGGTGTGAAACAGGAACATTGCCAAAAAATTCGAAAGAAGCAGTTATTGTACCAATAATTAAAGTAGGAAAAGAATCAAGTAGTCCAGATAGTTATAGACCCGTTGCATTAACATCTCATATAGGAAAAATAATGGAAAGGATGGTAGTGGATAGATTAACAGACTATTTAGAAAGAAATTAATAGATATCACAGTATCAAAGTGGTTTTAGGAAAGGGAGAGGCACGATGGATGCAATTGTTTATTTAGAAACAGAAATTAGAAAAGCATTAATTAATAAAGAGAGATTAGTAGTAGTCTTTTTTGATGTAGAAAAAGCCTATGACATGGTGTGGACAGAGGGATTGTTAATAAAACTTAAAAAAATTAGGAGTAGGAGGAAGAATGTATAACTGGATTAAAGATTTTTTGAGTGAGCGAAATATTCAAGTAAAAATAGGAAGTACATTTTCTAGGGGGTGTAAAGTAAAAAATGGCACTCCTCAGGGAAGTGCCATTAGTCCAATATTATTTACTATTATGATAGATAATGTGTTTCAGAATGTGGGGAATGAGTTTGGTAAGGCATTATTTGCAGATGATGGAGCAATATGGAAGAAAGGGAAAAATATCCAATATGTGCAAAAGAAAATTCAGGATGCAATTACTATAGTGGAAAATTGGTCGTATGAATGGGGTTTCAAATTTTCAGTGGAAAAAACTAAAAGTATGGTGTTTACAAAAGGCAAGAAAGTAATGGAGGATTTAACATTGTATGGAAAAGAGTTGGAGCAAGTAGATAAGTTTAAATATTTAGGAGTAATATTTGATAAAAAGTTAATATGGAAGGATAATATAAATAAAATAGAGGAAAGATGCAAAAAAGTAATAAATATAATGAGTTATGTGAGAGGATATGAGTGGGGGGCTAGTGCTCAGGCGTTAAAAAACATGTGCTGTGCAATGATACGATCAGTGATAGATTATGGGAGTATAGTTTATAGTTCAGCATCTAAAACATTAATGAAAAGGATTGAACTCATACAAAGTCAAGCATTAAGAGTGTTGTGGAGCAATGAAAACTACACCTATTGTCAAGGCCGGATTAACCACATGGGCAACTGGGCAATTGCCCAGGGCCCACAAACTCTAAAGGGCCCAGGGCAGCAAGGGCACGAGCAAATTACTGTATCTGTAATCTCCCGCTTTATATTAAGCTAGTGTGACCGTACGTGCTGTTTTCCCCGGACATGTCCGCTTTTCACTCTGTCCGGGATGTCCGGACAGGGGGTTCTTGTATTGATGAAAATGTCCGGCTTTTCATCCAGGAGCAGGGATGGGGGAGCTGTATATCCTACACATCCAGGGGAGCCGGAAAAAAGTTTTCTACCTATATTACTATATTATCATTCATGGACTCTTTTCAGCAGAGAGCGGCAGAGCGATGATCGGTGCGCAGCGCTCCAGGCTGCTGCGTCCAGCGCACGGTCCATTCTCAAAGTGGCGCAACCAAAAAACTATGATTGACACACGATTGTTCATGTCCGCACATGTTCTCTACTTTCTGCCTTCTTTGTGCTTGAAGCGCTCTGCGGAGCTCATCACCTGTGCTGCGGTGATTTCACCTCACTGACGCATCGAAACACGCTCTCCGCTTTGCAGTCAGGAGATCCCTTTGATCTGCTCAAAAGTAACTGATGAGGTGAAAAAGTAAGAATCCAGGCAGCAGTTTTTCTGGAGAGTTTAGAGGAGACGCAGGAAGATGAGAGACAGACAGGACAGGAAAATAGTTAAATAAAAACAAGAAAACAAAACAAAGTGTTGAAAAGTAAAATGTACGTAGATTTATCTCCACTACACATTTTTACCTGCAAAACAATGTTGTACACATGTCATATTTATACATCTGATACAATTCAGATCACATTCAAAACTCAGTCACACACCCAGGGCTGTTTCAAGACATTTTGGGGGCCAAGGCAAAATGAACCCCACCCCCCATAACTGGGCTCCCCAGAAGCCTCTGTGTAATCCATACCCTCTCCAGTAGTGTTAGTTATACAGTGTTTATAAAAGCCCCTCAGACATTACTGACATGTTCTAATATTATCAGATGAAAAACTAAATTATCAGACATGCTGTCTCATCTGCTGCTTTTCTAAACTTGCTAAAAGTAGCAAAACCATTTGAAAGCCACTATTTGTGGATTCTCTGAAAGTTTCCATGGAGTGTGTGACAACTTATTTTATCATTGATCCTATCGTCTAATCTCACAGCTGAAACAAGCATCCTTAATAATCTGTGCACAGGAAGCTTACCGATGCTGTAGTAAAACAAAAGGTATAATAATTTATTATTAATAAAACCTTGTTGCCGCACTAAAGCAGAAAAATGAGATTTTGCAATAAATATGCAAAATATTCATGTATTAATTGTTTTTGAGCCCTTTTATTGGCAGAATCTGATATTAATTTAGTTCTTACAAATAAATGTGTCCCAACGTGGATTGTGTGGCGTTGCCATAGTGCGACGTCATAGGCACAGATCCCCTGTCCTCTTGTTTGGAAATGGAAATATGATCACCCTACATTAAACAAACTGTCCACCCGGGCTTTTGCGCTGCACAGAGACGCTTCGCTGCCTATGACTTTGAACGTCAGTTGAGAGTCAGTCTCATGCAGACTGACCAATGACGAGAGGGCCTCAAGTTAAGACCCTCTCCTCATTGGTCAGTCCACACAAGGTGGGTCAAAGGTTACCCTGAGCGGTTACGTGATGTCAGGCATTCAAGTATTGAGTATATTTACTGCATATTACAGTAATATATTCTGTATGTGACCACATTATGGTGATCCTCGGGTCGTGATGATGGGGCCCTTGAATATTGTTGCCCAGGGTACAACGAAGTCTTAATCTGGCCCTGGCTGTAGGGTACACCTTTTCATCCCCATGAACACAGCCAATATGAGCTGATGCTTTACCCCACACCTCTCTGGGTACAATGCTAGACACAACTACTGTCTGAAAACAGCCTGAGTCCAACAGAGCCTCTTCCCGATTAGTAGCTGGATATGAATGTTGGGTGTGACCTAATTTATTGCTAAGATAACAGCGGATGTCTTGTTTAAACCAAGGCAAAGAGCTTTTACTGGCATTATGCTTTATAGCTGGATGCCTCGTGTTATCCTGAGCCCTAATCTTAGCCTGACCACCCTCTTCACCCTCAAAGGACTTACTGTGTCTGGTGAAGGAGCATTCTCGGTCAAAGGTAGGTCTTCTGCTTCCTCTCCTGGCCGACAAAAACCTCAGCAAGACGAGCAGCAGATCACTGGGTGCTCAGCCCCCTTAAACCTCTGATGCTAGAATTGCCCCTGGTTACTGCTGAAGCTTAGAAACCAACAGAATGTCCAATATGTTGTCTTTCTTATCCCATTACTTGACATTTACTGAATTAGTAACATCAGTCTGATTTAGTGAATATTAACAAATTAATTTTTAAAATCTAGGAGGGAATGTTAAAATCTAGCAGCTGGCTAGGATGTGGTAGGCCCTCACTCTCTATTGTAGCTGAGGCTAGAAGCTTCTCTCTTCTTTGCCTTTTAGACTTGCGTGTCTTTCCTGGAATAGTATCCAACTCAACATGGTAAAATGGCAACTCCTCAAGAGTGTGACATCTTTTGCACGTTCGTGCTGTGTTTGTCTTCTAATTTCATTTTTGGTTCTTTTTTCAACACAGATAAGGTTTCTCTTTACCTTGCTGACGGTTTCGTTTGCGGCTGCAAACATCCTCAGAGCTGACGCTGATGGTGGCTTCTGACTGGTAGCTAACTCCACGTACTTCACATGCGATGACACAATATACAAACAACTGGAAGGCTTCGCCACGGGTAACCCGTTATCAGCCACCCTGCGCGAGTTTTTCATGGAAGACCTAGAACAAAAAGCCATAGCCACTGCCCCCCCAAACTGCAAAATAAAACTATGGATACGCTACGTAGACGACATACTGGAAATCATACCAAAAGGTCAAACTGAAACACTAACACAACACTTGAATAACATTGATGACACAGGCAGCATAAAGTTCACATATGAGTCAGAAACAGAAGGCAGCGTAGCATTTATGGACATGAAAATCACCAGGCAGACCGACGGGACCCTAAACATAAACACATACAGGAAACCAACACACACAGACCAATATTTATTATGGACACCAGAACACCCCACCATACACAACATGTCAGTAATCAGAACATTATATCACCGAGCAAACATGATAACAGAAGAGGCCGTAAACAAGAGGACAAACACATACAACATGCTTTAAAGACCTGCAGATACCCGACATGGGCA